TTCCCTTGGTAGCTAATTGTGAATCTTTGTGCTGCAAACAGTGAAGAAACCGGAAAATCATGCTCTGGTAAATAAATCATCTCCTCACATTTTGTATCACGTTTGTTTTATAAGATTGAATAGTTTCATAAGTTGGAATGATCTTATACTTTTGGAAATATGTCTCTCTCTTTTTTTAATGAGAAAGCCAAATTCTACAATAGAATATCAAGTTCCTATGCTTAGAGTTCACAATGAACCTTTCTTCTGCATTCATCTACGAATTCTTCAAAGATGTTCAGGAGAAGTGCTCGCCATAAACGAATCCTAATTTTTGATTCACCTTTTGTCGATTTTAGGTGGTGTAAACTAATCACTGCTCCTAAAATCATGTTCGAACCAGTTTCAGGACTATGTTTTCGGCATAACTTTCACTTACTTTTTGGGTTGCACGAAGTGAGATTATTAATTTGTTTATTTATAAATCAAGCGTTTTAGACCTTTTCTCGATATCAAAATTTGCTTAGTACATTTGCTAATTGTTTTAGACTTGGTTATGGGCTCGATTGATAGATTGAACTGAAAGCACAAAAGTGTATAACTACCCCCCAACTTTGGTGAAATTTTGAGGCTTAAATTTCATTGCCGAATGGACACTCTTGCTTATAATGTATGTGTTATTATTATCTTTTAAATTTACTGTGTTGACCTCAATATGATGCGCAATATTGAAGTGTATGTATAAGAATCTGGTCTGCAAATTAATTTGCAGTGGATGTATAAAAATCTAATCACAATAAGATTAACTTTTAACTCTTAATTGTCATCAGTATACTAACCGGTTCTACTTTTCTTGGTTTTACTTATAACAAAATTTTGTTTTTGTTTACGTCCTCTGTTATTTTTTATGGTACACTAATGTCTTTAGAATCCAATTCACTTAAGCATGGATAAACCACATGCATATGTTTCACAAAACAAAACACATACATCACCTAAAAAGGAGAGAAGAGCTAGGAAGATTGTATACATGGAGAAGAGGAGCAAAAACTATTGGACAAAGAAACTGAGAGAGATTTGTGTTTGATATATGTAACGAACTAACGATAAAGGAGTAAGCATTTGTAATTTTAGGTGATGGGTTAGAGAAGCTGCCAAAGTGCATAGAGGCCATACGGATTGTTTCTTTTACTCTTTTTAACTATTTTCTGGAATCTTTGTAAACATTGTTTATTAGATATTTAGATTATAACAATGCAATTTTTTAGACCTTGATCATATTGTTGCCTAGATTATTATTAAAAACTTATAGAAAACAAAACCCGCGCGGATACTCACCTAGTGGTGATGTAAACATGCACGGTTTCCGTATGTAAGCATGCATTTTACAACCATATGTTTTTTTAAATTATGGCACGAGAAGCTCTCCATAGACGATTCTTTTGAAAACTTGAGATCTTTTATTTTCTGGATATTTGTCTTTGAAGATACCAATGGCTCAACTAATGCGTTAAGGTTAGGCTGTTCGAACAAGATAAATGATTCAAAATCCAAAAGAGGAAAACATAGAGAGATCGAGGTACAAGTTTATCATACCTCGCAGAAGAATGCGATGCATACACGGTATCGAGGAGAGTTATTGATCACTCTATGAAGCGTGGATTCGAATACTCCGTTTGAAAGAATCTACAATAAATGATTCCCAAAATGTTTACAAAAATTGTTGAAACGAACGAAAGAGAACATAGAGAGATTGAACAAACAAAAAAACCTTTAACATGTCGCCGATGTTGCATATAAATGATCCTGGGATTGGAATAGCTGATATCCAATGGCCGGCCAAATCTCTCACCTTTCCAAATTTTTTTTATAAAAAAGTACTCTTAACCATTTCTTCAGAGACGCAAAATCAAAGAAGATGATAGTAGTTATATAATTTACTTGGAGAGCAGTTTTATCATCATCTTGATTTAGTAGCGTCAACAAGCCTGCAAAATTACAGTTTTTCTCTTTTTTTAGACAAAAAACAATGAAGATATATATATTCATCATCTTGATTAGAGTTCAAGCTTACTTACTATAATACTACTAGTAGTCAAGCAAATAAAGTGAAATAAACAGTTGTTGAAGTAAAACAACAATGAAAAAGTTACCATCCGATTTCATTTTCGCTTTTTACGCCTGGGTAACCAATAATACGCATTTCCCAAAAAGGATCTCCAACCATTTTTCCCTCAAACTCGTAAGGTGATCCACCAAGAGCTAAGGAAATTCCCCTCAAGATTTTTTTAGAAAGATTTTGAAAACCATGAAATGAAATTACAAACTAAGAATCTCTCATTTGGAAACAAATCACATTAAAAAAAAGAAAAAAACAGAAAAGAGTAGAACACACCTCTGCAGAGCTTAATATACTCATTCATCAACTCTTTGTACCCTTGAGGATTCTTTGGCCTTCAAGGAAAACGCCGCACGAGAAAACATATACCGAAAGAGAAATAGTGAGATGAAAATCAAAACTCATGTAACAAATTATAATACTATGATGATGAATGGCGTATCATTTTTTTCCAACATTTTAACAAACACTATATTTTGTCCTTTAGAAATATTTTATCAAGTGTTCACTTTCCGTTATGTCTATGTCTTATGAGTTTTTCAAAAATATAACTACAAAAGAAAAGCAATACAAAAACCAAATCTTTAGTGTTTCATGATTACTCAACAAAAAATATATTCAGTTAAAATGTTTCTGCTATATTATCATTTGGCTAATCCAGTATTCATATGTATCTAAAAATTAACAAACAAAAAAACAAACGTACGCTCCTTGATTCTAAAAAACAATTTCTATTTCGTCTTAGCCCTTTTGTTTTATTCCTTTTCAACACAAACGTAAATGGAATAAAACATAATAAAAAATCAAGCTCTAACCACTGATTTGGCCCTTCCAAGACCTTTCCAGTTTCCCCATACTCCCCTTGATTAAACTCTCTGTAACACTTTCCATAAGAGAATATAACCATATTAATTAGTAGATTCTTTACTTCGAAAACATTCGCTGATCAAGCCATTGGCTAGTACGTTGGACACACTTACATCAATGGCTTCGTGCAAATCTTGTTCCCCACCGGCCCGTATAGTTTACTCCAATTTTCTTATATCCTCTGCGTAACTCAACACCCCATTAATGATCCTCCACAAAAACACTACCTTATAGTCAAGATCGCAAAACATACTTATGATGCAATTGCATGTAATGGCAGAAATGCTACCAAACTCTCTCGTTAAGTTATGCATTAGCTTTAAGAAAACAAAGAAAAGATCTATCTTCGATAAAAGTATATATTGTTTCTTTCGTTATGAACAAAATAGCACCGGTCTAACTAAACGTTTTGGATCATGTTTTAAGATCAAAGTGACAAACCTGTATCCAGCAGCTGGTGTAATCTTGATCTTACGTTTCTCCTCTCATATGGAAGCTCAAAGAATTGATGCGACACCTCTTTAACCTTCTGCATAAGATCCTCCGAAATTCCATGACCAATCTGCTCCACACTCATCGGTCCAAATCAGACCAGAAGTACCTTTTTAAAAACCCAAAAAAGGAAACTCAAATTTTTGTTACCACGTAGAAGAATCCGATGTCCCGACAAGCCCGGTCTAGTTTTCCCAGAACCTCCGCCACGCCGGCATCCTCCATCATATCGGAATCCTCACATTTGAGCAGCAAGGGACTGATGTCTACAAAAACATTGTCTCACATTTAGTTTCCTTGGCATAATATGAAATGTAAACTTTGATGATGAGAGTGATGTTTGCTTGATACCGATAACTGGTAGTAGTGATTTGATGTCTGTAGCCATCTCAGATTCTTAGACAATGACAAGAGAACTTCCACGTTGATCTAACATAAAAGTATATGATTGCAATGAATATTTTCTTAAAAATTAATGTTTATGTTATTATATTTCAATAGCCATAAACTGTGTCCCTTAGGATGATTATAGAGGCCAAACAGCCTGCCCCAATGAGAATTGGATAATTGATGTACAACTGTGACCAAGG